TATTATCACCTCACTGTAAAATATGAGGTGCATTCTTTTATCTGTCATCATGAAACTACAGAAAACATTTTGTTGATTTCACAGCAACATATAGATGAACACACACATACTTTACAGGGCGTCTAGAAATTTTGAAAACACAGGGCCAATTATTTCATTATTTCTTTTTAAGAATTTATTTATTTATTCATGAGAGACAGACAGACAGACACACAGGCAGAGGGAGAAGCAGGCTCCATGTAGGGAGCCTGACATGGGACTCGATCCAGGGTCTCCAGGATCAGGCCCTGGGCTGAAGGCAGTGCTAAAGCACTAAGCCACCAGGGCTGCCCGCCACCAGGGCTGCCCTATTTCATTATTTCTTATAGAGCTATTCCTAAGTGACCTACAGTTTATCACCCAAACTGGGTAGATTGTTTTTTTTTTTTAAAGATCTTATTTATTTATTTATTTATTTATTTGAGAGTCAGAGAGAGAGAGACAGACAGAGCAAGTGAGCAGGAGCGTGAATGGAGGGAGGGGCAGAAGGAGAAGGAGACTCCTCACTGAGCAGGGAACCTGCCAAAGGGCTCCATCCCAGGACCCTGAGGTCACGACCTGAGCCAACGGCAGCCACTTAACCAACTGAGCCACCCAGGTGCCCCCAAACTGGGTCATTTTGAGTACAAGGGGGAGGTAACTGCCTAGGACCCTAAGATATAGATTGTCCGATCACCCCACTCATGCAACTATAACATAATGGAGATTAAGTCAACACATGTTAAGTAAAATGAAAAAAAAAGTATGATAAACAGTACTCTATGCTTCTGAGTATCCTCATGTAAAAACATAATTTCTGTGTCACACAGGATCTTATTCTATGATGTGTCTTTTGACATTACTCAGTATAGCTAGAATATTTGTAAAAATAAAGCACATGTAGCAATCGTGAGGACTGTGCTTCTTAGATCTTGGACTATTGGGAGGGTAAGTGGCCCAGGGCCCAGCTTCTGTGCCCTAAAATCCACAGCTGCATTTGCATGAAGGCCATATTGCCCATAGACTGCTTGTAGCCAATGACTGAGCACAACAGGAATAGTAAAATATGGTCATTTCTCTCAGGTCATGATTCCGGGGTCCTGGGATGGAGCTCCGCAGCAGGCTCCCCGCTCAGCAGAAGTCTGCTTCTCCCTCTCCCTCTGCCCCTCCTCTTGCTCATGCTCGTTCTCTCTCTCAAATAAAATCTTTTTAAAAAATAGATAAAATAAGACCATTTCAGGGAAACTTAGGTCTTCTCTGATGGCAACTATGGCTCTGGGACTCTCCAACTGAACTTTCCCTAGAAAGGCATTGTAGTCTTGGAGATTCACCTAACCTTTTCTCCTTCTCTCTTTCCCACACTGGGGGTCAGTCTTACACTGTGATCTGAAGGCTCTTCCAGTCTCTCCAACACCCTTCCCCATTTTTGGTCACAGGCATTTCCCTGAATCAATTTCTTGCACATTTAATCTCTTCTTGGCATCTCCTCATAGGACCCAAAATAAGCACAAATGTCTACTGGCATAAATCTAGTTTATATGTATTCTAAATACAAAGAATATTTTAAAACTGAGGGCATTTGAATCAGTCACGTTTACACACTGTAACTCTACTATAATGTGGTGAACCCAGAAAAATATGTATCTTCTTCCCATATGATTAAGCCAATTCAAATTGGAAAAGTTACAAGCATTCAATAAAGCTTCAGTACTCAGCCTGAATTTATTTCAACATGGCAGAGAAAACCAAAACTATTCTTGCACTAGAGAATTGATACCTCCTTAGCCTCATCTATAAAAAGAGGTGTTCAGATGACACATGACAATTTCTACATCTAACACTCTACGGTTTTCACAAAAATTATTAATCAATTTATTTTATTTTTTAAGATTATTATCGTAGGTACATGGTGCTTTGGATTTGATAAATGTCTCTTTAACTGAATTTTTAACAGAATTTCAGGGTAGAAAGGGGGTCTAAAGTAACTTAATCTCCCCTAGGAGATGCACCAGGTTCATTTGACATAAAGGCAGAAAAAAATTGGGCAGTGCAAGCTTGCTCAGGTATTTTTCTAATAGCCTATGTAGGAATAAACATTTTAAATGCTGGGAGTAAGAAGCAGCTGTGGCCTCTCACCTCTTAAAATTGGTTCACTGCCCTGCTATTTTATTTAGAACACTTAGAGTGTTGTAAAAATTTGAATTACCTTATTTTGATTATTTCTGAGGCAGACAATACATATTTCTTCCTCTTGGGTGAGATGGGTAAACACACTGTCCATCCCAAGAAAGTTAATAGAAAATATATTTTAAATATCCATTAAAGAAAGTACTTAAGGTTCTATAAATGGTAACAATGACTACATGAGGTCAAGTCAGCTAACTTCACCAAAGAAGGAAGTCATTTGGAAATCATGCTGAAGTTAGGGCATGCTGGTCGAGCAGAGAAAGTACTGGATTAAGAGACAGCTAAGCATGTTTCATTTCAGATTCAGCTTTTAATAAACGAACTGTGTGACCTCTGTAATGCTACCTATCCTCTCAGGATTTCTGCTCCCCAGCTGTGCAATAAAAGAGGGTTGGACAAGATGGTTTATGAAGTCTCCACAGCTGGTTCGGTCCCTTTCGTGCATTTTTGTCCCACACATGATGACTAACATCAAACTACACACTCAACCAAAACTGAAAGCTTCTTAGTAGTAAAGGAAGAAACCCCAAATGCAAATAATCTGCCAAGAAGAACATCTAGTTTTCTTCCCACTTTTTAAGCATTTGTTGTAACTAGATGCATTCTGAAAGGGAAAGGACAGGGGCACCTGGGTGGCTTAGTCAGTTAAGCATCCGACTTTTGATTTCCGGTCAGGTCATGATCTCAGGGTTGTGAGATCGAGCCCCATGTCAGGCTCCCAGCTCAGCTCAGAGTCTGCTTGAGATTCTCTTTCTGCCCCTTCCCCTGCTTTCACTCTCTCAAATAAATTAAGAAAGAAGAAGGAAGGAAGGAAGGAAGGAAGGAAGGAAGGAAGGAAGGAAGGAAGGAAGGAAGAAAGAAAGAAAGAAAGAAAGAAAGAAAGAAAGAAAGAAAGAAAGAAAGAAAGAAAGAAAGAAAGAAAGAAAGAAAGAGGGAGGGAGGGAGGGAGGGAGGGAGGGAGGGAGGGAGGGAGGGAACCAGGATAATTTAAGGAAAAAGCAATTTCCAAGCAAACATTCTACCAACAGGCCCTCTTGCTGCCTTCTACAGAGCCACCCAGGCCTAGAGGATAAAAGCTGATCTTGTTCCCTTTGGTCCATTTAGGGACAGAGAGAAGCAGAGCTAAATGTCAAAATGCTTCCTGTTCTGGTGAGAGATGGCCAGGCTTGCTGTAGAAGGGCTAGAGACCATACCTTGTAGATGTAGGGAAGAGGGCAAAAAAATGCTTCCGGCTCTCACCATCTCTCCTTGCTTACCGTAGAAGCCCTTCACCCACAGAACCCAACAATGAATTCCAAACCGTGACCTCTGTTAGCGACTCGCCATTCCCATGAAACACAACTTTCCCTCCACAGCTGACATTCCAACAAAAGCTATTTCCTTTTTCAGGGCAGTGACGTTGTAAGCACAGGAGCCCTAAGTCATTCTTTCCATTTTCTCTCTATGTAAGTATATCTGAAAACTAGAACAGTTGGGTTCCAAAATAGGCAGATTCCACCACATTTATGTACCCCAGTTGAGAATTTGGTCATACTCAGCCTACAGAATGAAGTTCATCCTTTTAAATCTAGTCAAGTGGTCTCTGGGCCATGTAGCCTTATTAAGTGAAAAATCGGTGTAGTTATTAAAGGAAAAAACAAGAAAAAAGAATAATCCTTCTAGGAAAATATGACGCTGGGAAACAACTATTTATGATAGAATTTGCCACAAGCAAACAATATCTTATAACTCTGACCTTAAAACTAAAAATGCATTTGCAAATTTTCATATCAATATTTACATGAAAATTTACTGGTAAGACATGACACTGGGCACAATGCCCTATTTTGAGAAAAATTTTCTACTAAAGATAACACTGATTTCACTTTAAAGCTTAATACTATAAATTTTTTAAAAAATAATTTCCAACTTTCTGCCAAATCAGTATGACTAAGAAGCTAAGTTTCCTGAGACTTGAATTTAACCAGTCTAACTTTTAATAATAGCATTCAGCATTGGAATAGCCAGGAAAAAGGCTAAGGCAGCTGAGAAGAATTACTTTCATAGCTAAAAGTGCCTCAGTTTATGCAGGAATAGCAAAGTAGGGGATCCCTGGGTTGCTCAGTGGTTTGGCACCTGCCTTTGGCCCAGGGCGTAATCCTAGAGACCCAGGGTCGAGTCTCACATCAGGTTCCTGGCATGGAGCCTGCTTCTCCCTCTGCTTGTGTCTCTGCCTCTCTTTCTCTCTCTCTCTCTCTCTCTCTCTCTCTCTCTGTTTTTCATGAATAAATAAAATCTTAAAAAAAGAAAAGGAATAGCAAAGTAGTAGCAGAGGAAACACAATCTATGAAAGGAACTCCATTTTCCACCAGCAGCTGGTGTTGCCTTGTTAATACCTACGCAAGACACTAAAACGATAATTTCTGTTGGTGAGAATTACAGTGATAACACACATTACAACAACTGATTCTTTTAATTGTGGACATGGAAACTCTTAACTTCTTTCAAAGCATAATATGGATTTTATAAGGTTTCTAATGCCCATATAAGTAATAAGTAACCAACTACAGTGGTCAGAGGACTTACAACATCTTTCACTGGCAAAATAAATTATTTTCAGATATTTTTGGTATATACCGAAAAAATATTTACTACCAAAGATAAATTACTAATATTTTCTGAGCAAAAGAAAAATGCACAAATGTTCTTAGGAGGCCTGTTATGATTGTTTAAAATACACTACTGTCACACATAAAAAATGAGACATAGGTTTACAGTTACATAAGAATTATATAAAGTAACTTGACAGATCCTACCTTTTTTAGGAACCGGACTCCATAGGTAAATACATAAAGGGAAAATGAAAATCTCCACCTGTAGAAGTTTAAAAAAACATTCTATGACAATCAGTTTATATCTTTCACAGCATAGTATTCTGAAACATGTGAGTGAAAAAAGTCTATTGAATTTGGCCCCCCCCACACCACTCCAAGCAAGCGTTAAGCTTAATAAGCAATTTCAGTGTTAGGTGAACACATTACACTCATGTGCATGGTTTACTGCAAAATCTTAAATATTAATAATTCATAACAAATTTTCTTCCAGTTTCTGTATTTGCCCATTTGTTAATCTTCTCTTTCTCCAACAGATAAATTTCCTCTTGTTAATTGCTCATGAAGGGATACAGTTCAACAATATAAAGATACATAAGATTGTTTTGAATTCTTTGTCTAATTCAGATATTAAGTAATAAACTTGACTTACCTAAAGTTCATACTCAGTTTAAAAATAAAAGTCTTGGTATGTTTAAATCAGGTTAAGATTTTTTTCTTCATCTTTCAACAAATACTGATTGACATCTTTGTGGATACTGCTAAAGGAACCCATTTGGAATCTAAATCATCCATCTGATGTACAGCTGTTAACAACAACCTTACATACCACCCCAAACTATACGTCTAGCTGTTAGTTAGTCTTTCAGGTTTTTAATGAGGAAAAAACATTTTTGGTTCTCTTTCAATTTTAAATGATTCAACATTTAAGTCTTAAAATATAAGACTTTATGTAGACAGTGATCACGTGATGTTCAGGGGGAAAAAAAGCTGAAGCCCTACTTTTTACCCTATATGAAGATAAACCATACTTAGATGTAAGACCTAAATTTGAAAGGTGAAACTGTAAAACTAACAGAGGAAACTGTTGGAAGGTATCTTTGCAATTTGGAGATAGCCAAAAACTTCTAAATAGGGCCTTCAAAACTGCTCCTTAGAAGAAAATGAATGCATTTGATATCAAAATTAAATATTTTGTAAAATGGACTTCATAGATAATAGATGTTTTTTACAATATCAAAAATTATTGGGACAATGGAAAACACTGAATATGAATCTCAAATTAGACTTTAGTGTTATATAAATGTTAAATTTATTGAGTGGGGGGGATTGTATTACAGTCCATGTAGGAGAATGTCTTTGTTTTTAGGGGATTTACAGCTGCAATTGCTGCTTTATATGGCCCCAGTGAAAAGGGGCCAGGGCCTATAAACATCAACGACTATAAGGTCTGAGTTCTAAAAGAGGACTTTTACTAGCAAACAAGAGGATGGGGAGGGGAGGGTGCAGGGCATTCCATGTACCCTCTCTGTGACCAGGCCTGGATGGATATTGCCAAATTCAGGAATGAAAGTAAGAGCTAAATTTCAACACAGGTCTACCAAGACGTGGTATATAAATATGGAAAGAAAAGAGCATGCTAAAAATTAAAAGGAAGACCTGTCTCCTCAAAACAACTCCCTAGAGGAACCAGATGTTAATTTTTAGAAAAGTATTTGGCATTGTTAATACGATACAAGAAGACATGTCCCTTAAAGACAAAAGTAAGAAAGCCATAAATCAATAAAGGACTGCTGGGTATGATAAAAAGAGATTCTAAGCGAAATAAAGAAGCACTACAAAGATGTTAAAAATGGAGTGATAGAATATTACCCACATGGGGGGAGAGAGAAAAATGTAGATGTGTACTATGTAAAATTAAGTCATTGATGTACAAGACAAACACCCTCTTATGGCCAGAGAAAAGAACCAATAGATGAAAGACTAGATCTGAAGGACCAGAAAAATCAAGGCTAATTATAGTTGTTTTTGAGAAAACACAAGTGCAGAACTGAAATAGAATAATTAAAGACCGTAAAAAAACAAAATCTGAACTGAAAAAAAAAGAGAACTCAATTATATTCCAAATAATATCAATTCAAAGCCAAATTCTGACAAAAGCTATGAATCCTAGGGTTAAAAAAAATTCTTCAGGTACCTGGTGTCTCCAGTCAGTTAAGTGTCTGCCTTCAGCTCAGGGTCATGATCTCAGGGTCCTCAGATTGAACCCCATGTCAAGCTCCCTGCTCAGAGAGGAGTCTGCTTCTCCTTTTCCCTTTGCCTCTCCCCCTGCTGTGCTCTCTCTTTCTCAAATAAATAAATAAATAAATAAAATCTTTTTAAAAAATTCTTTAGTACCAGGCATAAAAGCAAAAATAAGTCACCATCAAAGAAACAAATGTCCAATTGGTCATAAATTTCTCCTCTGTATTCCTAACCTACAAAAGAAAGGCAAGAGTCAATCAGAGGGAGCCACTGCCAACCAAACTGCCTTTCATTTGTGAAGGAGTAGGAAAAGCCGTCTCACATATTCAAAGGCTTTGAAAATATATTACTTAATTACTTATCTTGTTTCGAACCCGTCAACATAAAAATTATGAATTATTTTTTATTAACATAAAAATTAAGAATTCAAAAAGCCTAATTTTGGAATAAAAGGATTAGGGTTAGTAACATAAATAATTGCCCTAAATTTCATTGCCAGATTAAGTGCTATTGCCCTTCGGGGACAATGTAATTAATATATTTAACAATAACCAGGGGACAAATCCTTAGATCATACTAATGAAAGCAGGGGATGGAAGCATGAAAGGAAGCATGAAACTTATTCTTACAGAGAAATTTTAAAAGACACTGTTGTTACAGTAATATTAGAAATATAGTTGAACCTTGCCTTAAAAACTTAAAGCCTGGTTGAAGGTGGTTGAAGGTGGTTACCTCTGTGCCTTTTAGGAATGTAGCACTAAACAGGCAGAAGAGGAATTTTGTTAAGTTCCCAAGGCCACAGCCCCAGAACCACCACTCCATTTTAGAGTCTGGAAAGGAGAAAGTAAGTGTCAGCCTGACTGGCAGAACCAAGAAGCTGGATCCTAAGGTGTCAGCAGAGGAGCTCAGCAGCAGCACAGAGCATCAGAAAGACTCCAGGTGAGGAAATGACTGCAAGGCTGCAACCTCTACTGGACACAGAGGCCAAGGGATTAGCTTACCCAAGGCTGAGTCGCTATACCGTTGCTAAGTGGCAAAACCAAGACACCAACCTAGCTCAGCACTGACTCTGAAGCCCCCTTTCAAATCCCACAGAATTCGAGTCCATTTCTTTTGCCTAGAGAAGTCAATATGTTCCACTACATTTGTTTAGACATGGAAACCTTTTATATCCATCAAACCTGAAATTTAGAATGGAAAGCTAGCAAAAACTACCACCCACTGAATCTGGTTTATTGTCCTTATACAACAAGGCTGCTGAAAGGGCTCTTTGTTGAAATCAAGACTAATAAAATGTGCCGTAAAAGTAAGGAATCAGAGTGTTGACATCTTGTGTCTTGCTGCCAGGTGTCACAAATGGCACCAGGATCCTTATCTCTAAGAGGATGAAGCAGGGAAAACATCCAGAGCAGCCCCCAGAGCTCAACTCAGCATACTGTCCTAGATGGAGCAAGGCAGGCATATGGGGCCATTTTGCTTGCAACAATTATGGAGTACTTCCTCTATTTCATGAGCTGTTCTAAGCACTTTACAAACAGGAAGTCATTTAGTGAAACTATTCCAAACAACAAAGTAGGTACTATTATCATCATGCCCCCTTTTCCCTTTTTTTTTAGATGAGGAAACAAGTACAGAGTGGTTTGCTAAATTGCTGAAGGTCACATATCTCAGTAAGGGAGAGACTTAACCATTAACCATTAGGCTATGTGCTACCTCTTCCTGAACTGTATACTCCTAAAAACTGAAGACAATGTGTTCAGCTAAAATACTGATTTTAACCAAGGAGACGTTAAGGGACACCACATAATGAGAATAGTCTCTGTCCTGATGAATAGAAATCGGCTGCTTGAAAGTTCAGAGACAGGGAAGGACTGTACTGGTGCTTTTATTCAATACGAGGGCAGCTAAAATAATATAGAGCTTGCCATGTAGGGTCAACGATAATGACCAGGGGGCCAGTCTCCATCTTAGCCATCCTTTCTACCGGCTAAAGTACTATTCCCCCCTTAAGGATTTATGTCAAATGCTAGCCAGTCTATGAATCCACCTTTTCTGAATGTTGCAACACTGAAAGCACCGTGAGTCTCTGTCTCTCTGATGGTGTGCTCTTTACCCGTCTACCTCATCTTTGATTACAGCCACAAACCTCTGACTTGCTGGGGAGTTCCAAGTAGGTAAAACCGAGTCTTAAGTATCTTTGTACTTCTGACAGCAAACATAGTGTCTTGCAAGGAACAGCTCCTAAACTGACAACAGAATTTTTATTAAAGATATAGGTACTCCCTTTATTTATTTTACTTTCAAGTTTATTTTAACCAAAATAGTCCATAATCTAATAATATTATCAACTACTTCTAGGAACTGTGCAAAAATATAAAAAAGAAAGGGGGGGATGACATGCCAAATATTGCTAATGCAATTTTTTAGATGATCAACATAATAGGAATTTGGGATCAAAGACAGCCAGCTCCAGAACAGTGTACATAATGAAAAATATTGTTATTGAGTGCAAAACTCGGATACAGAGCAAAAAAAAAAATCGGCATATAGTTCCTTTAATTACGAAATAGAATTCATTACTTTTGAGACATTTCTCATTTTAGCTGTTCCATCATCTCAACAAACAAGGATTAACTCATTTCTTATCAAATACATGAAGAGAAGTGAGGTTGGGCTTGTATCTTTTCTTCCATAAAATTTAAGATTTAATATAAACCATGCCATTATATCTTGCAAATTATTACAAAGTAAAATTATGAGAAGTGAGAATAGATTTTGAAATACTTTATTATGTTGATAATTTAAAATACACAAACCTACCCTTTTACCTCTAAGCACAAAGTAGATTAAATTTTTGTTTCTCTACTAAAAACTCATAGCTGATGACTTTCCTAAGGTACAAACAAAGCTACGGCATAAACATATTCATATTTTATCATTTCCCCAGTCAAGTACAACTGGACTTATAAAACCTTTCAAAGGGGTTTTTGTATTATATCTGACATATTCACTTCCACA